CATCGAGATCCGCAGGCCCTGATATTGCAATGGCTCTGCTTTCATTGGTCTAATGAGTTTTAAATATAATTGCCAATGGATATTATGATTTATTTCCAAAAGGTTTTATTTAATTGCTTTTTGAATATAGTTGGTGATTTTTATATCATATTCTTTACTCTTATTTTTATTCTTTTTTAAAAACACACTTAATATTTTGCATCCAATAATGCTAACATCTGAAGCCTTGGTGTGTCTGACACTGTTTTATATATTATCTCTCACTTATGGTAACTTGATTTCTTGTTTGTGTTAGTATTTTTGACTGTGAGTTGATGTCTGGGACTTTGAGAGTTGGGTTGAACGTGGGTTTCTCCGGTAAATATTTGTCTTGCTTTTAAATGAAACCCTTGGCTTTAGGTTTTTCCTGGTTTCTTGTTTCCTGTAAATTCAGATTGCAAACCTAAGAGAAAGTTGTGTTATTGTGATGAAATTAACAGGAAAAGGTCCCTCCCCTTCATTCAGTGATGAATGGTGAGTTATGAATGGTTTGTTTTGTCCTTTGGGCAGGAGGTGGGAGCAGGGAGTAGTTACCTCCAAGTCCTCTAGGTGTTGAGGGCATGACCTCCTGAGGTTTCAGTTATACAGGAGTGGAGGGTGGACCTTCTGCTTGATTCTCACCCAAGCACATTCTGAGCTTTGTGTCCTGAACATACATTAAAAACATACAATTAAACTCACGTAGATTGGCAAGTGACCCTCAGAGTGAAAGTAATCTTACCTTTCCAGATTTCAATTTCCCCTTGGTTTTTGACTTCTATTTCTTACCTTTTATTCAAGATATCACTAATTTAAATTTGTTTAAAATGTTTTATAATCTGCAGTTGTTTTTCAGTATAAGAGTATGTTCATAGTCAATCTGAATATTTACTTCTTGGCGCTGTTGGAAATGGAATTCTTATTTTAATCTTGCTGTCTTGCTTTTTGCATTTGTGAGACGCAATACCTGACACCTATAAATTAAAGGAGGAAAGTTTTCTTCAGGCTCACAGTTTGTAGTAGTTTCAGTCCGTAGTCAGCTGGCTCCAAGCGGGGTAGTGTGGCAGAGAGGCAGAGGAGAAACAGTCCACGGCATGGTTGTGGGAAGCAGAGAGAGATCAAGGGAGGTAGGAGGGCAACGTACTCTTTGAGGCATTGTCCCACCTCCTGCAACCAGGCTTCACCTTCCAACATCACACTGAGCTATAAACTCATCGGTGGGTTAGTCCACTGACGAATATCAGCCCCCATGACCCAATCACCTCTCGAAAGCACCACCTATGAGCATATGAGGCTTTGCGGGGAGGGCACGCAGGAAGAAACCATTAACGCTTAACTGTGAGTCTTTTGTCATGAAGAAGTTATATTTTTGTTTGTTTGCCCTTGTTTTGTTTTTGAACTAGGACTTTGCTATGTTGCCCAGGCTGTTCTTGAACCTCTGGTCTCAAGAAATGTTTCCAAATACTCGGAATCACATCTGGCAAGAAGTTGATATACTTAACTGCAGCCAATGTTTATGATTATTACTTCTTGTTTAAGAAATCTTTTCTCTCAATCTCCCAATGTCACAGTATACAAATATATTCTCGTATGTTTTCTTCTTAAATGAATAGATATTCATACATTTGGAAAGATTTATTTTTATTTTTGTTACATAGACAACTATAGATCATGGGTCAAATATGACTTGAGACCTGTTTTAGTACACCCTCATGAGTTTGACATGGTTTTAAAGGAGATATCCATATACCTAAACACACACACACACACACACACACACACGACAGAGGTTGTATATGGCCTACAAACTCTATGTCTGGAATTTACACAAAAAGCTTGCAGACTTTTGCACGAGTTCACTTTTCCTCACTTATTTGCTACATTTTAGTCTCTCGCTTATACTTGGGGGTTTATTTCAGGGTCTTCCATTCTGATTCATTCATCTCTTTGTTTGCTGCCATTTCCAAATACCACACTGTACTGAAAATGGATGTTTTCATTAATGAAAACTACATGAGTTAAAGGAGAGGGATTAGAAAATGCAGGACCCATTTTCAGAGTGGAAATGAAAAAAAAAAGGAAGAAAATTCATCCTCAGATTCCTAATAGGCCTGACATTAACTAGAGGCATAGAAACTCAGAGTGCTCACAAAATATGTCCCTACCATACCCAAGCATGCACTGGACCATGGAATTGGATTTCATTGCTTAATTTGTAGCTGTGTATGGTGCTGTAGGAGAGATAAGAGACTCAGGGACTTGTTCTAGGAAGTTTCCAACAAGGAGGAGCAGAGGAGAGCAAACCCTTGGTCCAAGAACAGGGCTCAGTTAGTAGGCGAGGATTTTTCTCCTCACATGGCGGTGGGCCTGGTGTTTCCTTTCGCAGTATGGTGGCCTCGGCTACATGTGACCCCCACATGTGGCTAAGGCCTTGGGTCCCACGGACCACAGCCCTGGCCTTTGATGAAGTCTCAGGTCCTGCTCAGGGGTGTAGAGGCCTCGCTGTACACCCTTCCGCTCTTCTTTTTGCTTTATTATCCCCTGCAGGCCCAAGAGGAGGAAAGAGAAAATGAGACTCATGGGAGGCTGGCCTGTGACCTGCAAGGGCTGTCCCGTGATCTGCCCTCCCTGGCCAGGGCAGGGGCTGCAGAGAGGCGTAGAGAAGCAGGGTGGTCAATGGATTCCAGCCAGGACCAAGACTCACAGCATAGCCTAAACCGCTTCTTTATAAGAGCTTCTCTGCTAACATTTCCCAGAACCCATGAGCTTTGTCCACACACCTTCTGGAGTCCCTGCTGGGCTGACGGGCAGGACTGGTCTCGGTGAGGACTGGCATCGTGCTAGGCTCCAGCATGCCCATAACCTGCAGAGAAGGATGAGAAACCAGGTACATGGAGCCTCAGAGTCAGATTTAAAATCGGGACCTGAAGGGGCAGCTTCTTACCAAAACATAAATCATTTTATAGGCCAGCAAATTAGACATAAACACGGAAACCTAGACTGATCTTAAAACATAGCCTTGAGCAAAACTAAAGTGAGCAAAAGAATGAATTCTGTGCTACAGTTTGTGTAGTCTGCTACACAAACGTGGCGCTGGGCATAGAAAAGGTATATGCTTGAGCGAGTGTTTGGAGAAGGGAGCACTTGCATGGCACACCCAAGGCCGGGGTTCCTGGGGGCGGAGCATGAGCTGGGGATCCTGTCCAAGTGATTTATGGGGAGCAGGCCCTTAGGAGGCTCGTGAGAGACTGGGCAGAGAAAAATGAGTAAAGTGGGGATGGAGGGGTCCAGCCTCAGCACGGGAGCTCTGTGGGGTGAATTGCACCACCCCGTTGTCCCACTCGGAGGCGAACAGGCTGAGTGGTTACAGCGAGAGTCAGGCAGTGGCTAAGTATGGCGATCCATTATGGTGAGCCTTGACACAGGCCTAGCCATGATTGAACTTTGAGTCACCTCGCTGGCACGGACGTGCTCTCGCCCATAGCCACGGGCGAGTTCAGCTGGTAGCAGATGTAACCCATAATGGTTGTTATTGTTTTTCCCTCTGGAATGTGTGGGCGGTACTCTCGCTCCCGTGCAGCCCTCGCTCCCGTGCAGCCCTCGCTCCCATGCAGCTGGAGAGTATAAAAGGAAGAGGTTCTGTAATAAAGCAAGCAAGGAACTTGAGAAGAAAGGTGCCTCCCGTCTCTCTGTCCTCGTCCTTTCAGGTTTAGGACCTGCTGGCAGGATCCTGACGTCGCGGCTCGCGACAGCTAAGGGTCCAGGGACACCGGTGCAGCCCTGGGGAGACCGTCTGAAGGGTCTGCAGTGCTTGTCCATCCAGGTGGTGTTCCCGGGGGAAGGACTAGACACACAACCTTTGCAATATCCAGAAAAGCAAGACACAGGCCCTGATGGTGACTAAGCAAAGTATTTGAAGACAGTGCCAAGGCCCACACGTGCTCTCCCGAGGGCAGCAGTGTCTCAGATTCCACCTTGCCGAAACCCAACTTCAGGGGCCGGGGCTCTCTCAGCAGTCTCCTAGTTATCTTGATTGAGTGGAGTCCATACCTCCAACTGTGCCTTTCCTAACACCTGCAAGCAAGCAACAGTCACCAGCTGACTTCAGGAGCAGGGGTGACCAGCGGCCACACATGAAGGAGGATTCTGTCCGCAGCACCCCACCTCTCTCTCTGCACTCTGAAATCACTCTCCCCCAGGGCTCTGCAGGACCACGACTGGCTCAGGAGCTTGTGATTAGCAGCCTGTGGCTCCCTACCCCAGCTCAAATAGCTGTTTCAGGAACCTGTGGTCCTGAGGAGCAAGAGAGCAAGCACAGTTGATTGCTGCAGAGGATGACCTGAGCTCCTGGGGATTTACAGCTCTGCCCAGGCAGGGAGGCCAGCGTTCCCCGCACGTGGGCACTACTCGGGAAGAACAAAATGCCACTTTTCAATTGCTGCTGCCTGGGAAAACCAGTGCCCGAGAAGATCTTGCACTCTGCAGATCTTGTTTAAAAGTTCTGTGAGCAACAGCCCAGGTGATTCAGATTCTGCGCTGGTTCTCGGCAGCGGCTCGCACTAATGAGGGAGAAGCAGGTGGCCGCACCTTCCTCCCCAGAAGGTTCTGAGGGGTCACCATGGGAGGTGGGCTCTTGTAAACTGAGGCTTGTAAGGGGAGGGAATCCCTGTGCTCGACCAAGCAGCTAGCAAACGTGCAAATACCTGTTTGGCAAGTAGTGGCAGTCGCAGAGTTCGATGTTTAACCACAGTACCTTTTTAAAGCTCTTGCTAAGCGGCACGAGAAGCATCGTACCGCACTTGCTCAATTAGTCCTTGTCTCAACGTTCTGAGTCAGATGTTACCGTTCTCCTCGTGTCCTGGCGTCGGGGAGAGTGAGGGTTGGGGGATCAGCGTTAGAGTCTGGCCACGAGGGACGCCTCTCATTTCCTGGGCCCACGCTCTCCGGGCTGATTCTCACACGTGTGCTTCCCTTTCCTACAGGTGCGATGGGAATTTCTGGCAGAACCGTGCTCAGCTGAGAGCCAGCAGACTGCGCAAGCCGACCTGGGGACCAAGGAGAAGCTGCCCCCCACCTCCACTTGGGCAGGCTTCACCCGCAGTGTCAGGTAATGCGGGCATTGGAGATGAATCTGGGCTGGGGAGGTTAAAGTGCCAGGGCCTGACCTGGACACTGATGTGTAGGAGGCTCAGAGCCGTCGGGGATCCAGGAAGGGGTATGTGCGTGAGGGATAATGACAGAGGCTAACATTTATGGGACCACTGGCATGACTGAATCAGCAGAGAGGGCAGAGAAGAGACAGCATCCCGCACTCATCCCAGGCCTGGCGCCGGGCAGAGTCTCTCCAGGAACCTGGGGAGCATGTCCCACCTTCGCCATCTCCAGGAGGGAAGCTCACTGGGTTCTTTCTGCTGTGCCATTGTAAAGCTCTGGGGATCTGTGGTTGGTGTGGAAGCTCATGTGGGCAGACCTCTGACGGGTTCTGTGAGCAACAGGGGTCCTTAGCTTACCTGATTGTGCGCAAGCTACTCTTTACCATGAAAGCATGGACTCTCATGGGGGCTGGCAGCTTCCTGGAGAGGGGAAGCTTAAGCTGCGATCCCTAAGCAACCACGGCAAATCTTCACCTTCTCTCGCCCTTCATCCCCACCCCCTCTGTTGTAATGGCCTGGCCTTGGCCTTGGAGAGGCTGCGGGACCCCGTCTGGCTGAATTGCCATCACTCTGCGGCACACTGTGAGTGGTGAAGGGCTGATGTTGGGCTCTGTCTAACGGCTGAGGTTTTTGGTCCCGAGGGACCACATGGATAGGCACCTCTTATTCCACCCTAAGTGGCTCCAGTGCCCCCTACAGGAAGACGACATTTGCTTTCTCTACTTACCCTTCATGGCCCCCATCCCTGCCCCCTAATACTCAAAATCCTCTGGGAGGGAAGGAAAAGGAGTAGCGTTTCGTTACTCAGAGAGAATTTAAATCAGGATAGGCATTTGTTCTTGAAGTTGGATGACACATTGTAGAAAGCAAAATATTGTTTTTGTTAAAGAAGATAAAGGGTTGAAATCCATGGGGGAGAGATTGGTATATAAGGCTAGGCAGAAATATGTTGAGGGTATCCAGCTCTGCTCTCTTCACTCCCTGTGGCTGTCATCCTCAACTGTACTCCATTGATCTTTATCCAGTGGAATTTCCCAATGGGCTATGCTAGGTGACACACCCCGAATAGGGCATCTCAGAGCTGAATGGGGTATGTCCATCAGGACAAGAGAAGTCTCGCAAAGGAAGGGCCACTGTGCAATTCTCTGCTTTGTCATTGGGCCTTTCGGTGACAATGGCAGGTGGTGTCAATGTCCCTTCTGCTTTCTAGCCCCTCTGTATATGCTTCCTTCCCTCTCCTTGAGAATTTTTCCAGTTTGCAATCCATTGTCAGGCATCCAGGTCCAGCCTAACAGTCTCTGAAGTGCAGGACATCACTCAGACCACCTGGAGGGTGAAAAGCTGGGGACATGACTGAGCCGTGGGAGCCCCATGTGGTGAGGCAGCCCCCAAGGGATCGTGACCCTTGCTGGCTGGCTGGCTCGTTGTGCCTTATTTCCATGATGCTGCATTCACCTTTATGTCCATCAAGTCCGGCTCTTGAATTTCCCCTTCTATAGGCGTAGAACTCCAATAGTGGCCCTGATAGAACTCCAGCTGTGGCGCTGGCAGAGAGCTGGTGGCCACGGCTGTGGACTGGCAGGCCTTTCCCAGCTGTCACAGGTGGAGCCCAACCAAATCAACCAGAGCTCCTCCAGTTGTCCCGGAGCGGGGAGGTCTCCCACCCGCTCTCTTCTCTGCGTTTTAAGGGCAGCTGGCTCCAGCTGCTGCTGGAAACTCATGCCAGCCTTTGTCTAGCGTCGTAGGCTCTGTCTCATACACTGAAGGGGTGGGGAAGAGATAATCCCTGCTCTGGATAACTGTGATACAGGGTGAAGACAGACAAACCAACTGACTGCCGACCTTTGCCCAAATCCCCCTAGGAATGACAAGATGGACTCTCTCATGGCATCTCCTGATTGTGTGGCTAGGATGTTGACACTCTGTCTTGGGTCCTGTGAGAGCTGCTGAGTGTGGCCCTGCGTGGCAAACTGAAGCAGCCGATGATGGTGACTGTCGCCACATACTCAGTCTAATGAGCGTCATGGCCCACGTTGACACATACCGAGTGCCGTGCGAGTATGAGACACCCAGTAATGAGGCTTCTGTTGTTTGGCAGAGGACGAGGCCACGGTTGTTACTGGTAGGGGAGGAACACAGCGTGGAAGTGCTCTTGGGAGACAGGAATTTCTTCTAGAAAGAAGGATGTGGGGAGAGAGGATGGAGGTGTTCTGGGTGGGGTTGGGCATGTATAGGTTTGTGGACAGGAAGGAGGAGTCTAGGGAGGGTAGAGGAAGTGCAGGGCCAGTGTGCAGTGTGGACCCAGGGAGTAGGGTGTGGGCACCCACCCAGAGGTCTCACTTGGTGTAAGTCTGAACTGTCTCCTAGGGCTGCTGTAAGAAGTCACCAAGCAAATCTGGTGGCTTGAAACAGCAAAGCCCCTTTCTTGGTGGGCCTAGTGTGCAGGATCCCTGAGCTCCCCACAAGGCCAATGGATGACCCTTCCTTCTGCCTCCTGCTTTGGTGGCTCTTAGCTGTGGTGAGTCGCTGTGGTCTGTGGCCCTGTCTTCATGTGGCCTCCTGCCCTGTGGGCTGCAGGTCAAGCGTCCCCTTGCCTTTCTCTTAGATGGACAATTGGCATCGGCTCTAGGTCCCATGCTAAATCCAAGCTCGTGTGATACTGAGAGCCCTGAACAAGTCACTGCTGCAGAGAGCATTTGGCCAAGCAAGTCATCTCCACAGGTTCTGTGGGTTCAGGTTTGGAGGCTGCTATTCAACACCCTTGAGAATCCCTCCCGATCTGAGCCAGTGGAAGTGATCTTAAAATAAAAAATAAGGATGCAGAGTGCTGGCGATGTAGCTCACTGAGAAGGCCCTGGGTTCAGTCTCCAGTACTACAAAAATTGTATGTTTCTGCATGAGAATGGTATCAGTGCACATGGACTTTCCATGTAAAATGTTGCTCATCACCTGGCTCTCAGTGTTTACAAACTGTTTTTGCAGAAAATGTAATTATGAACCTTAATCATAAAACAACCCCCCCCAACACACACCCTGGCAAAACATGGTCCATGCTTTGGGAAACCATAGTCTGATCAGCCACAGGTAGATTCAGTCTGATGGCCACAGGACACACTAGAGGGCCAGGCGGGCTGGTTGGACATGGGTGTGGCCTCTGTGGGTCACACCCATTAGAGATGAATTCTAGCCACTGCCTGGTGTATCTGTCAGTGCCCAGATTAAGGGACACATGCTCTTTCCTCCTCCCCAGAGGTGTAGGGCCACCTGTCTGTGCCACCTCTTCCTGTCCTGTGCTTGTACCTGGCTTGAGCATGTGGTCCTGGGGCCCCAGAGTAAGCAGAGAGAGCCTTTCAAGCCTCTCAGTCTTGGGGAAACCCACTGAGCAGGACCAAGGGAGGAGACCCAGAGATACTAAGATTCCCTCCCTTTGGAAGAAATTCAGCTTTCTATACATTTCTGGCCCCAACATCAGTGTTCCATGGCTCTGCCACACTACAGTTCCACGAGTGAAGAGGTTGGGGGTGCCAAGGAATGAATACGTGAGGCTCAAACAGAAAAAAAAAAAAACCCTGTATGTAGAGCTAAGAAATAAGAGGCTACCCCAAGGCCAAGTCCCTGCTGGGAACACAGCTCCCCACCTACCCCACATGGGCAGCAATGCTGGAACAACAGCCCGCAGAGGTGGCAGAGGTCTGAGCCTTCACGTTTATTATTGGAGCAGCAAGTTGAGCCAGCGGCCTGGGTCCCTTGTGCCCATTTTCAAAGGCCTCTGGCCCCCGAAGTCAGGAAGAGCACAGAGGTTGGCCCCGAAGGGCAGGTGTGAGCCTGTGGGATGGGGTCGAAGCACTGGCCCAGGGAATATTAATCACCACATGGTCCTCACTGAAGTGTCAGAAAGGGATCAGGCAGGCTGGTGAGGCAGCCCAGCAAGCCGTAGTTGACAGATCATGATGGACACTGTGGGTCAGAAGGGGGAGGAGTGCATCAAAATAGAAACCACCTGGACATCCAAGGGGCCAGGGAATTTCCTTACCACTGCTCTCCAGGGTCAGCATCTCACAGCCGAGTGAAGGCCCCGAGAGGGGTGGGGATTGGAAGACGGAATACTCTACTTCAGAGGAACCGGAGTGGGGCCCTGGTTCTGAAATGACTTTCTTGGGTCTCCTTGGACTTGGCGGGTTCTGGAGAGGTCAGAGCTGGTTTATCAGTGTGCATGTGTTTGTGTGTGTGTTTGGAGGCAAGGGAGGAGGACTTGTTTTCCTTGGCAGGACGAAGATGGAGCAATCTGTTTTGGGTGGGCTGAGGGGCTGTGATTTGGGAGAACTGGATGGAGCCTGATGAAAAAGCCGACGGGTCTTGTCTTTTCTTTCTTTTTTGGGAGATGGGTGTGTTTTATTAGTATATTTTATGTATAAAATACAGTTACATTCATCGTTGGGATCTTGTACCTCTACGTGACTTATCTTGGTTCTTATTTTTTCCCCATTCCCAGTCCTCCCTTCACCCCTCCACCCTTCCCTGTTTACAAAGACATTGTTTCCATGCTTTTCCTTTTCTCATATTTTTTATTTTCCCTTTTTCCCTTTCCCCTACTCCTTCTACTTCCACCCCCACCCCCACCTTTTAGACCTTTTCTTCCTATTGCACAACATCAATTATATATTTTGATACTTGTTTACACTTTTAGTTTTTCACACCAGAGAAACTATTCAGTATTGAGAACTACAACACTCTGAAAAAAGAGATTGAAGAGGACATAAGAAAATGGAAAGACATCCCTTGTTCCTGGGTAGGAAGAATCAATATAGTAAAAATGTCCATGCTTCAAAACTGCTGCTATATAGATTCAACGCAATCTCAGTTGAAATCCCAAAGGTATATTTCATAGAATGAGAGAAAAAAAATCCAAAAATTCATTTGGAATCAGAAGAGACCTAGAATAGCAAAAGCCATT